AACTAATACTGTCACCTGCCTTTACAAGAAACTGCACACTGCACGAAAACTTGGTCTGAAGAAACCCCGTAAGTTTCTGAAGTGCTGCCAAAAACCCTTCACCAAGTAAATCGTCTACATGTGTCAAACCTGCGCCCTGACCGTCCTCCAAGCGAAACAGGGCTGGGCATGCAGGCCAAGCCGTGGCTCCGGCCTCGACGAGTGCAGCAGAAAACATGTCATACCACCGAGCAGACCCTTCTCGCTGCCCCGGAAGGAGCTTTAGCAATTGGTATTGTCCGCCGTGCAGGGATACCCACATTTCGCAAGGCTGGTCGACGCACAAGTAGGCATCAGCAACATCTAAGGAGAACATCACATGATCGGCACGCGAACCCCAAAGAGCTGGCAACAATCTCGTGAGTAACTGCTGACTAGCCGGGCTATACAACCCTGATCTCGAAGGGTCATCACGCGCGAACTCCCGCGCCACCAGGCGGCTCCTCCTCAGGTACGAAGGTTGCCCTGTCACGGGATGTGGCTTCACACGCCATGTTCGGACGAAGCGCGTGGACAACACCTTGGCGGCACTGCTCAGCGGGCTGCCTTCCTTCAAAACCTTCATGCCCAACAGCCGTGAAATCTCATGCTGATCTGCAATAGCATCTAGGTCGTACATCTCTGACTGAGGCAAGTCAGGCTCGTCGGGACTGAACGGACGGTACAGCTCCAGAGGCACACTCGAAGGAAGCGCCTCGTCAGATCGATCATCGATACTATCATCGTGATCAAACATTTGTTCGCAGTCTTCGGCCGTAAACTCCACAGGATCTTCCTCACCGTGCTCGAAAGAAACCTCAGCGATGCGAGCACGCTTGGCACGGTCATCGTCGTCCTCTGCAGCAGGATGATCACGAGACTCTCTTTCTGACAAATCCATAGGCGCTGGCTGTTCTGCGGGCACAGCAGGCGCAGCAGACTCAGCGGGCGTCGTCGCTGAAGAAGTCGATTCGGCATCACTGCTCAAAGCATCAGAATCAGCAGTTGCAGGAGCAGCGGCTCCGGGGGCAACAGAAGGCACTGGACTGGGAGAGTAATCAAGTGAGGTCACGTCACCAGGCACAGTTTGTCGGCCTTCTTCGATCAATTCTCCCCCGCCAGCCTCGAGCTGTTCCTGGGCCCCGCCAGCGAGGAGTGGCGAAAGGCCTGATGGCAACTCAACCTTGGGCTCTCTCTGCACACGGACACGCCCTGCCGATCCAGCGATGAAGCCTGGGTGCTTCCAAGGATGATCCTTAAGCAACTTAGGGTCCTGCGGGGGAAACTCGGCCGGCATGCGTCGCGCGGTGCGCGCCAACACTAATCGTCCCGAGGACGTGCACCCAATCCATTGATCACTCGACATCACCTTGCCAAGGACTTGTCCTTGCACGAATCTGGGCTTCCCCTTTGCTCCTTGAGGAACTAAAAGCATAACCGTCTCTCCATATGGGATCATGGCCCCTTTGTACGGCCTTCCAAGGGCAGACTCGAAGGCCGTTAGGCCTCCGGACCGTACCTGAAAGCGGTTCAGGATAAAGGCCGCATGCCTTAGTGCCCAGCTGTGCAGTGGGTGACTGCCGGCTACCTTTTGACCTGTCTTCTTTTCGTAGAACGACAAGATTGACCCGGCAACTTGACGAACCGTATGAACACACATTTCTGCACCTCCATTGCTTTGGTGCGATCCTTCCGGAACCTGCTGACATACGGTCCTCAGCCCCAAGCTAAGTCGCAGCTTCTTCACCTCGTTTTGCAATGCCAAACACGTGGGCTCAGCATCGGACCTGATGATCACTTGGCTGTACCCAAGAATGGATATCAAGCGGCACAACTCGGAAGCTAGATACACTAGAACATTCATGCCGTTGACAACACCTCCTTTGGCAGGGACCGGGAAGCATTCGCGCCAACCAGTGTGAGCATCGTGAACAAAAAGGGCTGTGGTCTTCGGTTCACCCTCGGCACGAGCGGAAAACCCATAGTCGAAACTTATGCAAGGCATACGATCCTCGGAGCCTTTCACCTCAGCATGCCCAGCATCACGCCCCCTGAACGCCACGCAGTGTTCGCACCAACTTTCATACGGGCAATGCGTGGCCTCGTGAGCTCTGCGCTGCTCTGGCGTAGGTTCGATTGGTTGCTTGGGGACGACACCCTGAGCAACAGGCAATCCACTGCCTCCTTCAGCTGCGCGGGCAGCGGCAGCAAGCTCAAGGGTCTTCAGTCTATCCGCGAGCCGCCGAAACACAGTAGCCCGCGACCCACTTTTGCCAACACCCAAAGAAGTACACGCAGCCCTCAAGGTAGAGAGCGTGGTCGTCGGTGTCAAAATGACCTCGTTGATGGTGATGCTTTCGGGCAATGCCGACGGCTCATCTGCGAGAGCTTCCATCATAACGGCATCGGCCTGAGCGGACTCTGCTGGATTCGCACTTGACTCATCGGGCTCACCTGGGCTGGCAACCTCAGCCAACGCATCATCAGGGCGGTTCCCTGAGGGTGAAGGTTCCATGCCGCCAACGCCGCCAGGCTCTCCTTGCATAGTGAATCCAAGTTCCTCAGGACCTAGCTGTTCACGATGACCAAACACGATCAGATCAAATTGCTCTCCAGAAGGATGAAGCAACTCGTTAGGCGTCTCCAGCGAGGCTAAAGACTCACTCAGCTCTAACAGCACCCAGTCAGCACCCTGGCGCAGCAAGGTAGTGCGGTAAGCCAAACCTTCATGAGGCGCGTACAACCCCAAATCAATATGCCGGTCAGACACAAGCTTTGCCGCAAATACCGAAGGAGCGATCTCAGACAAGTAATCATGCTCGGTCAGCAGCCTGTCAAGCAAACCGGAAACTTGCACAACACCTGGCCCTTCAAGGGGATCGCTGATGGCACGCACAGCACCTCGGCACACGAGCGTATTGTGCTGGAAGTCCAAAGGGATGCATGCACTCTCATCGGGACTGGCAAGTGCGAGACCACCTGGGCTATCGTGACCTATGATCTTCCACCCCCGGCGGAGGAGTTTGCCTGTAGCCAAGATAGGCTGACTAACCCCGGTCACAACCCATCTATCAACTATCTCCACATCACCAACCTGCAAAGAGGCGTGTCGCACACCGCGAGTTTGCATCGCGTTCCCGGATGCATCAACTAGCCCTCTGGGACCTTGTGCACTTTTGCTTCCAACCTGAAAGTACGAGTACGGAATGCACGACTCATCAGCTGCAGTGTCAATGCACACCACAACATCACCGTCACTGCTAAAGGAGCTGTTGACTGCCCACACACGACCATCAAGGGGCACATGAACCTCTGGATCCGGCTCTGGACCTGGGACCAACGTCCATCTGCCATCGTGATCGCTGGCACTCATGCTGTATACCGCACAGCACAACTCGGGACACGAATCCTGTGGGCTCGGGATGGACACTGCACTGGATGATACCGGACTGCTTGGGTACGGCACTGCACTGGATGATATCGGACTGCTTGGGTACGGCACTGCATTGGATGATACCGGACTGCTTTGGTACGACACTGCGCGAATCGAAGGCGCACCACTCAGGACTCCGGCATAGTCACCGGACAGGTCAATCCGAACGCTCTTGACGGACTTTGCAGGAGAGTTGGCACTAGCCGCAGTCGCAGGAGAGGCATCGGCAGAGGCATTGGCTGGTGGATGAGAGTCCTCCACCTGCTGTACACGCGCACGATCGCGCGCCGACTGATCTGCCCTCATCTTCCTGCAATCTCGCTGGAAGTGACCCCTCTTCTGGCAGTAATGACAAACAGTGTTAGCATCAGCGACAGCCACATTGCCACCGCCTTTGCCCTTGCCTTTATCATTCTTGCCTTTGCCGTGCTTGCCTGCATCTTTGCCTTTATCACCCCTCTTACCTCCCTTGGGACCTTTATCCTTCCCTTTATCCTTACCTTTGCCCTTAATCTTGCCTTTGCCTTTCAACTGCGCGATGACGCCCTCAGCATCAACATCCATGTCGGTAGGCTGGCTACCTGAAGCAGTCAGGCTGGGCATGAGCAACTGTTGCTGGACACGGGTAGGATTCCAACTTTGAGTGACATTTTCAAACTGCAAGATCTGCTCACGAACTTGAGCGTATGTCGTCTCTTCGGTAAGAGAAAGATTGATATGGTCACGAAGGTACTTGGGCAATGAACGCAGAAGGATGGAAAACTTCACGTCCTCACTAACTTCCTTTCCCGATGCTTTCAAGTACTCTGAGCACGCCCGCTCAAAGGCATGAACCTGTTCGCGAATCGTAGACTGCTTGTTGAAGGCCGGAGTGGCCATGATGGCCGTGATGATGGCCATCGCGCGGCTTCTGGTCCGAGGCTGAAAGGTCTGATGCAAAACACGCATGACCTCATAACCATGCTGATTCTGAGTCAGCCGCAAGACCTGCAACGGTCGGCCCTTCAGCAAAGTCGACAAAATGCCATACAATTGTCTGCTTCGGGATTTGGTCGGGTCAGGCAAAACATCCATCGAAATGCAAGGCTCGCTGCAACGGGATTCCACTTCAAGCAATTCTGGCTCATAAGCAGGGTTCACTACACTAAGCCAAGTACGGAAACCGTGAAGCCAGGCGCCCCACTGAACCGCATCATTGTCAGTGTTCTCTGATCCAAAAGGGTCAGGGTGCTTCAAAAGCTTGTACGCTTGAAAGCCGCCTCCACCTGTGGCTCCACTCGTCTCTGAAGAAGCTTCGGTGCGAGAAACCAGCTGCGCAACAGATTGCGCACTCACCGCTGCTGCCTGAGCTGCCTGAGTAGCGGCTTGCAACATCTCCATCATGACAGTCGCCTGATCCGGGACAGTCGGTCCACCGGCCGCGGACGGGCTCCCAGCAAGTGGGCTGTCAGACACAGGAATCTGCGAAGGATCCATTGTTACGAAAATTGGGCTCAAAATCAAGGCAGAGTTTCACTGGCACGCAAGATAATTTTGATCAAGAAAATCCTCAATCAAGATCAATCACTTCTCTAGAACGCCTAAGCTTCTTGAAGACAGGAGCAGATTCAGCAGCACACGTAGCTGATCTCACCTCGTCACCCTGAAGCACAACGGTCTCCTTGCGCCCTGCAGATCCGGCGGTAGAAGAAGCCTTGGCCTCCCCTAAAATCGTTACTGCACACCAAACAAACACTTGCAATAAATCAGGTTCCCGATCTAAAAGCTTGCACCCGTAAGAAACAATGGCAGACGCTGAATCCAACTCAGCGAGCTGTGACCTGTGACGGTCCTGTGCGTCGCGCTGCCGCTTGCAGAAACTTTGGTGGCTAAGCGAAGGGGTAATGGGCTTGGTTGTCTGCAGCTCTACGAACCACTCAAGCACACAATCCCTAAGCTCCCGAAGTTTCTCTGGCTCGTTCCAATCTTCACAATCAGCAAGTCGGAAACGTTCAGTCTGGGTGCTCACACAAGGAATTGTTTATTGCAAGATTGCGCACCTCACAGGCGCACAGAATATGGCGGCGCAGGGATCTGCTACTCTACCTAGAGCACTCACGGTCTCAGAGACACGTCCAGTGCTCCGCTACCATGAAAACTTTTGGCTTGAACAAAGCGCCTGCACAATCCGTTCATTCAGCATGGTTCACAATGGCGGCAACAAAACTAGAGACTACCAAAGCTTCCAGCAGAGGTACGGAAAATCACATACCAAATCATACTTGGCATACTGTACTCCCACCACACCTCCAGATACCAAAATCCTAAGCATATTTGCATGCATGTGCACTCAAGAGGATAGATTTAAGCTTTGCACCCCTCCTCATGAGCCTGGAAACTTACGTTACAGGCTTCATGCCGACACCATTGGGTCAGCTGATATCCATTCGGATCTTGCCGATTCCCAAAGTCCTTTGCCCTACACTGCACAACTACACCTACTTGCCAGGGGCCTTCTGGTGGGCCTTTCTTCATTTTGTTCTAGTCCTGGCAACTTTACAGGGCTCCAAACAACAGCTTGTGTCCGTACTTTGACCATCTTTGGGGTCCCTTTCTTGTCACTAGAAGTACGGAACGCTTACTCGGAAAACTGTACACTATGCACACACACTGCGAAAGGCTTTGCACATAACTGCTAGAGGATTTTAAATGCGCGGTCCACTACACGAACCTAAAAGCGTCTTATCCTCTGCGAAGAAACTGAGCTATGCGAAAACGCTCAGGTCAGATTGTCGAACCGACTCAGGACTCGACTCATCTCGAACAGGTAGATGACATCCATCACGGCCTGCACTGCCCACACTTCTTCAAACCAGCATTGAGTGCATCCGCAATCGAGAGCTGGATCAGCTTCTCTGGTTCCAACCTTTGGGCCCTCTTCACCATTCCACAAGAGGCCCGATGCACTGCACGACCACTTCCAATCCGAAACGTCATTGGTCCCGGAACTGGTGGATGTCCACCTCCACGACCAGTTGGCATTGCTGGTTCCGTCCGCACCGGCATAGGCGCCGGTCCTTGACTGCTCACTCCCTGAGCCCATGGATCATGTCCTTGAGCTCGTTGTTGTCGAACTCCTTGATCAACACGTAGGTCACGGGCAGAATGTTCACCTTCCCGAACATGCTCATGAGGTCCCGTAGAAGGTCCAGGTAGATCTGGGGTCTGCCCTCTTGGTTCTGGCTCATACACAAAACTTTGCACATAGGCTTCCGTAGCGCCGCCCTCGTCGTCATCAGATGCAGCAATCAACCAGCTGTCATCGAAGTAGTTCGTCTCTGGAGAGGGCTCTCGCACTGCCTTCTCACCTTCTCCGTCACCACCAACATCAGGGTCCACACATCGAATCCGGTTCCATCGTCGCTTTGGTGCCATAAATACAACGATCGCCACGACTGAAACCGCAAACATGAACATGTAGAAGAGCGGTTCAGTCAGCACCGTGAGGAACCCGCCGACCGCACCGTAGGGCTCAGCAGGAACGTTGCACTTCGGCTCGGGATCAGATGCCGTAGCTCGACTCAAGGCTATGGCCGCAGTGAGAACCCTAAGGATTTCAGCTGCCTGCGATTTATCTGACCCTGCTGGTTTTGGAAACTTTCCCGGAGTTATCAAGCCGTCGGTGTTGTACATGCCCAACAGGTACAGTAGATACTTCACCCTCTTTGAGGTCAAAACTTTGGTGCCGAGATCACTGGTGTTGACAAGAGTACCCACTGGACGCACTGACAAAACTTTCTCACGGACCAAACTCTGTGTCCACAGCAGCCTTACATCAAGGTGTCGTATGCGAGAGACACCGGCCTTCGTGAGGAGGCTGCGCGCACTCGAGCTGTCCAGCCGAGCAGCAAGGTCCACAGCGTCCTTGGTCAAACTTGTCAAAAGGTTCTTCAGGAAAAGTGCTTCCGCGATGGCAGAGGTAGAGGCCATCAGTTCCGACTCGCATGAGGACAAAGCTATCGTAGATTGCCGTCGACTGTACGAGAACATCAGATTCCCATCCAAGAATATGTGCCCCGACGTAACCGACCTCCTATCAGCACTTCCTGCCCAGTCCGCATCACTTACGGCCTCCAGTAACCTCGGTTTGGCTTCCAAGGTTCCACCAGGCGGCACAGGTTCTCCGCCATCATCAAGCCTCGGCCTGACACGTGGGCTTTCGTCCAAATATGATCGCCCTGGGCTGCTCCACCGCAAAACCAAGCTATAGTCCCGGGTGTAGTACAAGTACTCTGCTAGGTACATCACATGTGACAACTGCTTTGCTGTAGGCGATGACATTCCCCTAGCCAACACACCAATCGTGTACTGCGCATCAGGTCGATCAGGAGCCAAATACAACAAGCATCCTAAAGCTGCTCTGTACCTCCCGGCCCACATAGCATCAAGCTTCTCCGTCTCATCGAGGGCCGTCAAGTCTGTAGTCGAAGGTACCTTGCGGGAGCGAGGTTTGGAAATCCCAAGGACTTGGAGGATTTTCTCCACATACTTTGGATCGATCACTATCCGTAGTCCTTCTGGCACTACCTCCAGCGTACGTTTGAGAAACCTCAACTGATCACCAACTTCCTTCAGCGGGGGACTGCACTCAAGCTTATACTTTTCTTTCAGCGCGCCAACCGTCTGGTCAACCTGATCCTCGAAACCTCCAAGTAGGCCATCATCGACATGGACCGTAGCGGCTTGATCTTTGCCACCATACACAACTGGGCATGCAACATTGCCGGTAAGGCCACAAGTCTGAAGATCTCCACTCAGTTCATCATGCCAATACACAGGAGCAAGTTGTTGGCCCGGCAAGCACTTCCAGACACGGTAAACTTCATTGTCCAACCTGATGTACAACTCTTCACGCTGCTTCACCATCAAGAAAGCATCCGACACATCGAACGATCTCAAGACCCAGCCTGGAGTGCTCACGAACATGTGAGGTAGTAGACGAAGCATCGAGGGACATGTTGAAGGAGCATAGGTATCCTGCCTGAACGGACTCCATGCTTTCAGCTGCTTGCACACTAGCCGCGCGCGACGCAACCAGTGCTGCTTCCTAAACCGCCAGTCATACACATACCGGCACTGCAAGGTCTTGTCCGCCGGAGGGTCAATCTCCACCTTCTCCAACACACCCATGTCAATGAGTCTGGACTTCTCGTCCAGCCTCGATGTTGCTTCCACTTTCTCCAGCTGGTCTGCAGAAAGGACAGGAGGTCCTTCCTCTTCTCCTTGATCTTCCCAGAACACCTCTGGATCCGTCTCTGGTGTGAAGTCCATCCAATCATCATCGTAGTACTGGGCATCAAACTCCAAGCCTTGCCACCAGTCCTCCATCTCCTCATCCGCAACGAAGTAGTCCACGTCACCAACTCGCACAGCTCGAACTTTCTTGACCGATTGGTCACTCCCAGCAGACTCTGGGACATCTCGCTTTTCACCACGTTCTTCAACAACCATCGGAGCGGGCTCAGTAGCCGGACTCAACAGATCTGAAGGGAAGCTTTGAGGAGACGAATCATCGTCATCCCCTCCTGGCTCACGACTCCGCTTGGCTCCTCTGACATCCCCTCCTGGGTGTTCACTGCTAGACTCTGAAGCCGACTCTGCGTCAGGCGACGCAGGTTCTGACGTGGGGTCAGACGCAGCTTCCTCTCTTGGGCTTGATCCACCAGGAAGAGGTAACGGATGCAGAGGCACAGGTAGTTCGGCCATGGGCTCTGGACGCGGCTTGCGTTCACGTAATCCAGGTACTATCTTCATACCCATAGATGACAAACCGTACCTCCAAGGCTTACCTTGAACTTCTTTGAGTAACACTTTGTCCCATTGTTGTACTTCTGGAAGACGCTTGACTGTTGACGACAAATACACCCCCAACGCTGTGCCACAAATGTTGAGGTCATTCAACATGGTTTTACCCAAGAACACGCCCTTCGCAAACTTCGGCCGGCCTTTACGTCGATGGGGCTCGGAAATAGCAAACAGCATCGTCTCGCCCCACATCGCCAGCCGTCCATTGTACTTCACCTGAAAGGCGCGCTCAGAAGGTGTGGTTCCCGCAGACACTGAAAAGCAGTTATGCAAAGTCGATGCGTGCACATAGGCCCACGGGATCAACTCGGGGTTCAAACTGGGGGCAAATCCATTCTGCTCAACCTGCTGTAGGAGAGTGCTGCCAATGTCCCGCATGCTCAAGACTGCTTGCTCAGCTGCTCCATTGGTCTGGTGTTCATAGGGTTGAGAAGGAGTCTTGCGGGTTGACAGACCTGCTTTGTTTCGAGCTTCCACGACCTTATCGCACAGGGCTACCATCGGTGGTTCATTGTCGCCCCTGATCTCCACTTCAGTCCTACCAAGGTAGGACAGAAACCCAAGAACTTCTTTGGCAGCATGTTGTAAAACTGTAGTACCCTTTCCAGGAAGAGGCACTGAATGAATCATCCCAGTATCCCGATCTACGCACACCAACACAGTCAACTTCTTCTCTTTGCTCGTTGGGGCTTGCTTCATGAACTCGCACACTGAACCTTCCAGAGATGCATACATGAGGTCCATGCACAGGACTGGCCAACCGCCAGTAGAACGGTGGGCCTCATCACCTCGATGAGCATCCCTTCTTCCTCTTGTCGCCACGCATAACGGGCACCATGGTTGGTAAGGTACGTGGGTTAGCCGATGTTTGGCAACTTCTTCAGGAGATGGTTCTGTAGGAACTGGAGAAGAGCGAGGATTGCGTTCTGGTAGTTTCGCAGCTTCAAACAGAGCTAAGTCATCTTCCATCTTCCTACGCCACACGTGTTTCACCAATCGCTTGTACAGGACATTCTTGGACCCCGTAGCACCTATACCCAACGCACGGCACGCCAACTTCAACTCAGCCGCTGGGGACTCCGCAGTCAACCTCTTGCCTTCAACGTCAATCTCATCTGTAATAGGCTTCTCTAGCTGAACCCCAGGCAACACAGGTTGCGCGCCAGGCTGCTCATCCTCCGCATTGGAGTCGTTGGCACCATCCGGCATCCCTTCATCAGCTCGTATTGGTTCCGGAGGCACCTGAGGCAGAGGTTCATCCAGCAACGGGTTTGGTGCCTCGGGCTCCACATGAAACCCAAACTTCTCGGGCTCCACGATTGTTCGGTGCATCACCGTCATGGTCAGGCTCTCATACATCACTCCAGGAAGAGAATCATCCAGCGCTGACAGAGCACCACTCATGGTTGGCATTGAGGTCAAATCCTGGTGTAACTCCAAAACCTCCCAACGCTCAGCAATCTTCACGACTGTAGTCCGAAACTTCCAAAGCGCAGTGTTCATCATAGCACTAGGGTCAACAAAGTTCAAACCCACAGAGAGGCAAACCGGGTCTCCCGTTGGCAGAAATAGCCACCGTCGACCACGTGGATCGAGCTCACCAGCCTCAGATGTGGAGAGAGCATCAGGGTTGAAATCAAACGTAGCATAGTGGCGTCGCCCTTCTAGCAATGGCCGTACTTCTAGTGGAGAGCTGGGTTCTTCGACAACTTCTTCAATGATTGGGCTCATGTCACTTGCTTCCACATTGTGCACTGTAGCTTCCACCACCAATGAATTTCTCCGAAAACTCACAGGTACTGCCACATCCTCGAAGCACAAGCACAACATGTTGTTGCGATGGTTCAAACTCCATCCTTTCCTCAACAGTCGACCCAGGCTCAGCAAAGGGGTAGCCACTGACGATGCATGAAAGCGCTCATGAAGGACTGCTTGGCCAAGATCTAACGACACATTACGAGTGCCGAGATTCGGCATCTCACGACCTTGTGCATCCCTCATGAGAACGCGCTCACCCGGTGCATTCTGCCCCACATCCATCTGCAACCACTGCTCTGGCATCACACTAACATCAGCGCCTGAATCAAGAACCACTTCAACCTTGATCCCTTCACTGGTCCAGCCTTCGGATGGTCCCTGTTGTACCATCTGCACGTAGGTCTTGGCCCAATCGCATTGGACCCAATCTTCATCACCTGGAAGGGCATCAGACATGGTCATGTCGAATACGGAAACTGCTGTGTCATCGTACGTCCAGTTTTCTTCAGAGCTGTCTTCCGTGCTCATGTCATAGTACTCGCACTCCGAAGCGGTGACATGATAGCACCACCACTCAGACCACTCTTCATCATCCCACGATTCTTCAAAGCCACCAACCAAATCCCCTGCAACCGGAAACTGAACTGCGTCTATGTCGTCTGCCAAGTTGAAGACGCGCTTCACCGTGGCTGTAGTCGCAGTGGTACTCGTTGATCCTCCAGGAGCCGCAGGTGGTTGAGGCACATTTGGGGTTCCAGGATTGTTGTTCACTTGGTTCACTTTCTTCATCCAACACTCATTGCTCCAATGACCTGGCTTACCACAAATCTTGCAATTGTTGTAGGGAACGTTGGTCTTGCCTTTGCTCTTGCCCTTCGAGTTGTCGTGGTTATAGCCTTTGCCTTTCCCTTTATGGTCCTTTCCTTTGTAACCACCTTTGCCTTTTCCATGCTTGCCCTTCTGGTAGTACTGGGAGTAGTCTTTTCCTTTGCCTTTGTTGTCCTTGCCTTTGGGGTTGTTGTTGTAGTGCTTCCACCCACCTTTGCCTTTGTCTTTACCAACCTTTCCTTTCACCATGTCAACATCCATAGGCACAGCACCATCACCAGCAGGAGGTAGGGTCGTACCTGAAACCAACTGGGTAGTCCACTTCTGGGTTGCTCGCTCATAACGAAGGATTACTTCTCGAAGCTCTTCATACGTAGCACTCTCACTGCAGTTCACACTCACATGTGTACGCAAAGTCGCCGGCAACGATCTCAAAAGAATAGCTGCTTTCAACTCCACATCCACTTCTTTGCCGGACGACTGGCTGTACTTACGGCACAACTCTTCCAGCTTCAAATCTGCTCATGGTAGTTGGAATTTGTCATGGCTGGAAACTGAGAAATTGCTCCAAGCAGCGCCAACGACCGAGCTTTGTTGCTAGGCGCCAGGGTGCGAACCAAAGTCCGCCACACTTCGCATCCATTGCCATCTGGGATGGCCTTCAAGATTTGCACAGGACGCTCTCTCAACAAACTAGCAAGCAAGGCGTACAGCTGCTTTGACAAATCCACTGTTTCTACAGACATCTCAGAGTGCACGTTACTGTCATCAAGGTCAGACTCCACGCTCTCAAGCAACTTATGCATCCCTGGGCAGATCACGCGCACATACTGTTTGAATTGCCACGACCACTCTGAAAACTGGGAGAGCTCTTCCTCCCTGTCCTTTGGCTTGAAGACATCTGGCTTGCTGATCACACGAGACCACATACCAGACTGAGTCGATCCACTCTCATTCAAAGTACGTCTGGTCAAGGCTTCAAGAGTCTCTTTCATCTGCTGAGAATTTTCGGCACTCTGTAGAACCGACGCTGTCAGCATCTCTAGAACTCGCTCGAAAGGTTGCTGACTAGGACTCGCAGGGCTCACCGGCGCTCCCTGAAACGGATTGCTCCCTTGGGGAGGTTGCGGTAGTTGAGGTCCAGGGTCCGCAGATCCTGAAGTCGCCATCACGCCTAATCCAGGTCAATGACAGCAGCCGGTGCAGCCTTAAGAGATCCCTCAAAGGTTCTCTTCTTACTTTCGCGTGTACCACCACCAAGGATGATGCCGAAGTCGTTCTTGAGTAGTTCTTCTAGATGCTTGTCGTGCTGCTGGGTTTCGTACTCCAACACCAAGGCGTCTAGGCTAGCTGGCAACGGAGGGTGGTCTTCTTCTGGGTGTACCGTAGACTCAACCAGGTGGTTCGGGAGGAACAACGGCTCTTCAGGGTCTCTCTCCGACAAATTCAGAAACAGGAATGCCTCTAGGTTGTCCGGAGAAAGGAGAGTCGCTGCGTAGTTAACCAACTGATCCAAGGTTTCACACAGTTGAATACGCGTATGGGCTCGTTCGATCTCCCTGGTCTGCTTTCTGCTCCAGGCACGTTGACTAATGGTGTCGGGACGCTCCACACGGTGGTTCTCCAACACCTGTTCAACAGCAGACTCGCTCAAGGCTCCCTTGAAGCTTTCCAACCCCGCCAAGGTCGCCGTGACCGCACCGGTTGTAGTAGACACTGAGGAGGAGCGCACAGCCGCCAGGCACAGTCGAAACTATGGCAAGCGGACCGTCACACACTTGGGCACTACTCTACACACACACACACACGTGGCTTGGGTCCTGGCCACAACACAGGTGGCTAGGGTCCTGGCCACTGAGCACCCAGTCCCGTGGACCGACGTGCTCCGCTACCATGTAAAGCGGCAGCAAACTTCACTTTTTCACTTGAAACCAAAGCCTTCAGTCGTACTGGTATTTGCATGCATGTGCACTCAAGAGGATAGATTTAAGCTTTGCAGGTGATGTAGCTGTCAAGCCCATTCCACACTCTGGTGAGCTCAACTCCACAATCCATCGCAGTCAAGGCGGCGGACACCTGAACAATCACAGGACCATGCCTGCTCAGTCGGTGCTGCACCATTGTCTCATTCATCAGGCGGCGGGCCTCCCAAGGCACCGCATTCGCTGCAGCATTCGGCTCACTCGGTGTGGGAGCAGGCACCGAATCATTCGGCTCAGTTCCAAGCATTCCTGCACTTGCAGATGCAGGCTCCTCTGCGCCATTCCTGACATTGATGCCAAGAGCAGCATCAATCGCCGCAGGTCCAGTTGCGGCAGCATCCGCCGGCGGGTGGTCCGCAGGAGGGCGGATCATTGTCAGTCCCTGCGCTAGTCGGTGCAGGTCCTGGCGGCCCTCCGGAACATTCCCTTGGAGGTGCAGTGCAACCAAGTTGCTTTGCACTCCAGTCTGGCGAACCTCATCCTCAGTGAGGTCACTCAGAGCGGCGATCACCAGTTGCTCTACAGTGATCGCCTCATACATGTGCTCCGGCAGTGACTCCATTCGCACTCGCTCAAGGGCAACATTCTCCGGGGCCATTGCTTCTACAGGCGGGCGAGCGAAGGAAGGCAGTCGACACTACAGGGCAGTCGATGTCACTAAGGAACATTCAGCACAATACATTTCGGGGGAAACACATTGATCTCAGTCGGCAACACATGGACTTAAGGCAGTCCCTTGCATTGCACTCTGTACATGCAATCTCACTAGCACTCTATCGGAAAACAATCGGAAACAATCGGCCATTTCGGCAATCGGCAAATCGGCCTCATTTTGGCAAATCGGCCGAAGTTCGGCACAATCCCTTCGGGACCGAAAAAAACAATCGGAGAAAACACTTCGAAAAAATCTGTCAGTCTCTCAACTCCCCATCTCTCTCTCTCTCTCTCTCTCTCTCTCTCTCTTTCTCTTCTCTCTCTTTCTCTTCTCTCTCTCTCTCTCTCTCTCTCTCTCTCTCTCTATCTCTCTCTCCCCTCTCTCTCTCTCTCTCTCTCTCTCTCTCTCTCTCTCTCTCTCTCTCTCTCTCTCTCTCTCTCTCTCTCTCTCTCTCTCTCTCTCACCCTCTCTCTCTCTCTCTCTCTCTCTCTCTCTCTCTCTCTCTCTCTCTCTCTCTCTCTCTCTCTCTCTCTCTCTCTCTCTCTGGTTTTGGGGTTTTCGGGCAACATTGAACTGAAACATTCGCACATGCCGCCATGACAAGACAAGTGAACATTGCACATGCAGTCATGACAAGCCGCTGCTGCATTCACTTTACACTGGACAAAACAGCAATGTGACGTGTGCAGTCCGAACATGCAATGCATTCACTGCAACTCACCTACGCAGTCCCTCGGCGTGGAATTCAGTCCTCATTCGGGACGCGCACGAGGGCGGGCGCGGTACGGGTGCGCCGGCCATTCCCAGTAGCGCGGCGGTTGGGAGGAGGCGGCCATTGAGCACTCACCCACAGGAGCAACATGATCATCAGTAATTATCAACCAGTTCGACACAACACCAACATGTGCCTTCAGTCGCTGCAACACGTCAGTCGCAACATATTTGGTCATTAGATCCGCGGGATTCCGCGTGCCGTCAATCTTAGCCATGCTCAGTAGGCCCATTTGCACCAAATTCTGGGCACACAGGAACCTCAGTTCCACATGTTTTGTCTTCTTGCCAGCGCCATAGCGGGTAGCCATTGACTTCCCCGCAGTGCTGTCGGTGTGAGCAATCACACTCTCCTTCTTCGCTAGCTTTGATCCCAACAGCATTGATCGGACAAACAGTGCTTCAGACACTCCTTGACCAATCGCATACAACTCTGCTTCACCAGATGACAGTGCCAGTGTTCCTTGCATCCTGCCAGTGCTTACAACATTGCAACCAAGGACATTCACAGTGGAACCGCTAGTGCTCTTCCGCGTGCGAGCGCAGCCAGCCCAATCGGAACCCAATAAAACATTGATGTCCACGGCACAATTGCCATCCGCAAGTTGATACGACGGTCTCAGTCTCAGCACACGCATTTTCGTACCAATCAAATAACGCAGCAGATGTTTGCAATTAGCGACACTTTGCATAGTCGGTGCAGTCACATCACGACTCAGGTCTTTCGTCGCCTTTGCAATATCGCCACGAACCAGTGCTAGCCAAAGCAGTTTGCCAACCGCAGTCCTGTACACTTTGTGCTCTTCAGGACTCAGTGGCGTATCTGGAACAGTCTTGACGATGGTAACAGTTCCAGTCGTCGCCACAGGCTTGGCATCCTTCATTCCATACAAATCAAGAATCGCATCAATGTATTGGTGTGACATGCAAACGTCAATCGAATCACCATTATGTCGCAGTCGCCGTCCCAAGTAAGTGCGCTCACTTCCTGGCACCAGTTGGCCAGTCTCTTTCAGCAACACTTCCTCCGACAGTTGTGACATGAAGGATTTCCTCATTTCGTCAGTCCCTACGACCAACAAATCATCAACATATGCAAGCACATACAATCGGCCCGATTCATGACAGTCAAGATTCGGGTCACTCTTGCACCTCTGAAATCCAACCCCAGTTTCGTCGTCATGACATCGGCGAAATGTTCTTGCCACAGTCTTGGCGCCTGTCGATGGCCATACATTGCCTTCTTCAATCGCCAAAGACATTTCCCGTCAGGGTAGCATTCTTTCGGTGGCCATACGAACACTTCCTCATTCATCAAGGCACGCAGGAAAGCAGTGCTGACATCACCCATTGTGATGCCCCAATTCCTTGCCAGTGCCATACCGAGAAGCAATCTCATTGTGACAAGTGAAGGCATGGAAGCGAACAAGTGGTCCTCTTCACTCTTTTCGACACACTGGAAACAACCTCTCACAACCACACTGCACCTCAGTTCATCTTCACTCTTCCAAACCTTGACCCATCGACAGTCAATTAAGGGCACCATCAATCTGCTCTTGTGTACAGTCATCAACCTTCACTTCATCATATACATCGAAATTCTTCATTGAATCCATCTCCTTCATCGTTCCTTTCTTTTCGACCTCAGGCGGAAACTCACTCTCCCACGACAGTGGATCGGAGTGTCGCATTTCTTGGTCGAGTTCGCCTTCCTCGGCCCTCGGCATTCACGTCTACATCAATCTTCGTTCCATCCTTGCCAACAACTTCGTCAACTCCAACAATCGACGCAAGCCATTTGCAAGCAGGGATCACTCAGGCAATCATGTGATGCACGGCAGGAATCCTCATTTGCTTCGTCGACGGCTCAGTCACAAGTGCATCTGGATCAATCCTTGCACTCTTTCTGAGAGGCTCTCCAGTCGCCTCAGGTGCGTCATGATCCATTTCAGCAGCGGATCTGTCATTGCCATCTTGAAGCAACAGATCCTGCTCAGTGACACTTTCACTCTGACCAGGCACCATGTCTTCAAGCTCAACATTCCCATCAGCTTCTTCCTCAACAATCTCAGTCCAGGAGGAGGCTTCACTCTGCCCTTCATTCCAAGATCTGGTGGCATTACAAACGCAGTCGGTTCAACTCCATCTCCACGCGGCTGCCAAGGTGTGGGGACCATTTTTATGACATAAGATGCATTCCATTGTTGAGAAGGTGATCTTCTCTTCACAGTCCTGACCTTGAAGACTCCATTGGCATTCCCAAGCACAACCTCATCGGCTTCAGTGTCCTTTCCAAGGTGACCAGTGAGATCCAGCTTTGGGAACACGCACTTTTCCACTCACAGGCACCTTAGCGTCAACCAATTCGCCATGCAAACATGCGCAATGCGCCATTGTATTCGCGACCCCACCGACGGCTATAGGCAGTCTTGCCGTCAGCTCCCATCATGTATCGGTTGATCAGCCATTGAGCATGCTTCGCTGTTTCACACTCCAGGTGAACAGTGGCGATTCAGAACTCACTTTTACGCCAGTCGATGCTGGGCATTCCCAACACCCTGACTTTGGGAGTGGCCAGTCGGCGCGGCTCTCATGGACAGTCCTCCAATGACCTTGCAGAGGTCACGTGCCATTGATTTATTTCAACGGCGCTTCTCTGTCATATTGGACAATCCCAAACGTACGGCCAATCTCAAACACAAATTTCCTCAATTCGGCAACTCCGTATGTCTCGACACTTCCTTTCGAAGGCAGTAACCATTGAATATCCAGTCTGGACATCTGTGGCATTCAGGACAGTGCGCTTCGGAAGGTCATTCTCAGTCGACACAAAGGAGAAATCAATCTGGATCACTGGTTGTCTGTCATTCTTCTTCTTCACTGCTGACTCTGTCTTCCTTTCGACTTCACGCAGTGCTCGCACCAATCCCGATACGGGAGATGAGTCAGTTCGTGCAATCGCCGTTCATTCTCCGATGGTTCTCCAGGAACCTTCAGCATTTTCGACTTCAACGCACTCCTGTCCTCAGTCTCCTCGGCATTCTCACCAGCAGTAGGACGATCCAGCTGCACAAACAACATATATCCAGTCCACTTGTGTCCAGTGGGACTCCGTGGATCCTCACATTTCTTCACCGATCCATCAGGCAGTTCGATGTCTGCCCATTCATTCTGATGACCAGCGTCAATCATTTTGGGATCACTCGAGTCCAAGAACATTGTGTACCTGTCACCCCACATTCGATCACTCAACAATCCATCAACAGGTGAAGTGGCATCATCAGGATGGAAGTAGCAATCACGCACTTCATGATGCATTCTTTTGCATGCGGTCCGCTGCTAGACATTTTCGTGTGCAGACGCTGCAACGATCTGTGTGAAAGGAAACTTCTCGCGAGCCGTGGATTCATGGCCCTTCACTCGTGCCGTACGTTGCACGGTCCGAGTTCGAATATCGCGGCTCGAGGAAAACACCACAACCCCGGGCGGGCTGGGCGGGCCGCTAAGAATGACTGAGCAAACAATTGCGACAGAATTCGCTCCCCTCCTGCAAAAACCTTTACAGTACTATGCATGCGGTCCGCTGCTAGACATTTTCGTGTGCAGACGCTGCAACGATCTGTGTGAAAGGAAACTTCTCGCGAGCCGTGGATTCATGGCCCTTCACTCGTGCCGTGCGTTGCACGGTCCGAGTTCGAAGATCGCGGCTCGAGGAAAACACCACAACCCCACACCCCATCTACAGAATGGAACGTGGGAGGGCAGGGAGGGCGAAGTCAGTCAGCGAGAAACGCTAGCTAGCTGCAGAAGGAAAGAAATTGGACAGCAGTGCATGCACGTAACAAGCTGAGTAAACCTGAGCCTGCTCAGTGACGAAGCGTATTCCAGAGATCCCTGTGAGCTGCAGGTGAGGCTTATGTGTCCTGGAACATTGGCCATGACTTTTGCAAACCTGCATCGCGAACCTCGGCACTCCCCATACTAAGATCTTCGTCGGCTTTCGCCACTGCGTGCCATACATGCACATGTCACACTGAACGATGAAGACTTGAGGATGCCGAAGAAGTCGCCGAACATGCGGCGTTTGCCATAATCGTGAGCTGGCAGGGTTTTCCAGGTAACCAGGAATGCCCAGTTTTAAGGATCTGCGAATCAACTTAATCGCACCGAAC